CTCTTAGGGTCTATCCAAACCACCATGATGCAGTCAGTTCATGCTACTTCAGTCCTGCTTTTCAGGAAATGAACTCTGCAATGCAGCAGTTATAAAATAGCATCAGTCATTGTGGGGGCTGCATCCAAGACGAAAACACTGCTGTGTAAAGGTACTGCTTAGAAAGACATTCATTTATGTGTTTCTCTAGCTGACTAGGTTCATGCCCAAAGAAATAATTTCGTCGCAATGTTTTCCTCAAGGTTAAATCATTGTAACCTGCTAGTGCTACAGTTTCTAGATTCAACATGCCCGTGCGTGTTGCACTATGTACTGTAACATAGTTTTAAATCAGTTTTAACAATTCCAAACCATGCGTTCAGTTTTCATTTACACAATATAACCAATGTGTACAAGTCTTTCCAGAAGAGATGTGCAGCATTCCGATTTCCCCCACCATATTTGACTACGTGTACTGCGTTATCCATATGCGCAATTTCGTTTAATTCTACGTTGTTGCCGGGTTTTTTGACGTATCTTAGCATTCCCCTGGAGTAATGATAAAGCTTAGGGGGAAAACTCAACCAATAGCACTTCCGGGTAGGGTTCAATAAAATAAAAGCTTAAAAGCGTGCACAATTGTGTTTTTAGCTACTATAGGACAGTAACTTTACAAGGGTAAAAATAACGCACACACACACACGACCGGTATTGTTACAGATTGTGTTGTTGAGTCCCGCCGTGTAAAAGGCATTTTACCAGGCGTTGATCGTGAGCGCTCTGGCTTTTATTTTGAAGGTCCAAACTATGTGCATCTGGTGTCGTCGCGATTTGCTTCACGTTTGTGTTAGCTTGAAACCCCCTCGTGTGAGAGCACCAATGTACAGTACTGGGGACGTAATCACAGAAACCCAAAAGCGGAATAGAAAAAAGTGTGGCCATCGATGGTTTTAGCGTGAGATGAGGACGGCGTTTTTGGAGGATTCATGGTGAGTGTCTGTAAGTGGATTTCCACAGCAATCTGATTAAAATGATGGCTACACAGATGGAAACTTCACGGAACTTTAGTATAATTTCGCCAGCTAACCATAGCTAGCTTGGAGTGTCAGGCCACTCCGAAACGTTTGTTCACTTTTTGGGGATTGTCCGGATAAAGTGTCACTCACTCAAACTGGGAAACACCGTGCTGTTAGGGGTGTGCTGGTGTTAGCAGCACTCTTAGCTCATTTACTATATTGATTTCTAACGTGCTAGCTAACCCTAGCATAAGTTTCTGGCTAAACCAGGCGACAGCCGCCCTCATTTAAAACAGTTAAACTTCCTTGAGACAGCTATTCGTTTGAACATAAGGCGAAAATAACAAATTAGTCCGATTGTACCCGCCCGAGCATGTCTTGAATTCTTTAAACATTATTTTACGTTTTTTTATTTTTTATTTTACGAAGTCCGAAGGCAATCATTTTAATCTTTATCTAAAAACATTTCTGGTTGCAGAAGGATGACTTTCTGCAACTGAGTTCAGCGATACGTAGTGGTGATTAATTTTTAAATAGAAATCAGGGCATGCACTTGCAAACTTGCAATATGTAAAGGGCTGTTAAGTTAACGGTCAGTCACTGGGTGTCCCTGTACCCCCTGAGCTTTACTGGGCCGTGTGTACTTTTACTGACCTCCTGAAAACAACTGAAAAAAATTATAATGGTTAATGTTGGCATTTAGTGTGTTATGGTCCACCGATTGCACCAGCCACCTATAAAACATCCACACAAGAGCATTGATGTAATTTGAGCAGGTGGGTGTGGATGAAAGTTCCAGTTAGTAGTGTAACCACATCTACAAGACACCAGTGGTAGAACTGCCCTAAAAAGCTTGCTTTCTTTAAAACGACATTAGATGGCAGTGTGGTATTAATGTAACGTCTCAATTTGTTTGAACTGGATGACTTGAAGATTATGGTTGGTTGGATAGAATACTCTGTCCGTATTTTAGATGTCTGAATGTTGTGTGTAAGCCTTTACAGGACAAGTGAATGAATATCATAATTGTAAAGTAAAGATCCTACAATAATACAAAGAAGACAGCAGAAAACAACCCCAACAGTCATATGACCCACTATGAGCAAGTGCTTTGGCGATAACCGGTCGGGGTTATGAATGAGTGATGTAAAGGTGAAATAAAAATACCAGAGTGTAATGGATTGAAAATTGTAATACGTTTATAAGGTATTCCTGCATATATTCAAACAGGTGTGATTACATAGCAAACCAGTAAAGAAGGATGGAAGCAGGATGTGTGCACATTTCCTGATTTATTGCTTTGTTTGCTCAGAAAAAGTATGGGAATAGTTGCTGCATATGTAAGAGTCATTTATGATTGTGTTTTATGATGTAAGCTCCACCACCACTGTCCCACCCTTGTAGATAATTATAGACAAGCAGTATTTACTCGGTCTTGTTTGAATGCTTCAATATGTTAAGACAGTGGTTCCCAAAATTTTTTGCTAGGCTTCCCTAGCACATCCTCCAACCACACACACACCCTTCTTTAACAACAATTAAGCAGATACAAGTAAACTGCAATAAATTACAGGTAGAACTAAAATAAACTACTAACTCTTTTACGCTACGTCCACACCGACACGAGTATTTTTGAAAACGCAGCTGTTTCTATGTGTTTGGGTCTTTCGTCCACACGTAAACGGCGTTTCGAATCACTGAAAACTGAGATTTTTAAAAACTCCCTTTTTGTGTTTACGTGCAGACGAGGAATACAGAGTTCGTCACGCAAGGTCAAAGGTGTGTGCCGTTTTTTTACATCACGCTGTGGGCCATGTTATTGTTTACATGAGATGAAATGCAGAATGGCAGATAGAGACAAAATACTGTTGCTGTTAATCTGACTATCTTCAGGTTTTACATTCTTACATACACACACACAGTTACTGTCCCTCCATTTAGAAAGGCAGAGGTTTTTTTTCCTGTGTAATAATATTCAACATTGCTATCAATACATTTTTCAAAAAATGCCTCTCTGTGCAAAATAGGGTCAAAAACAAACAACTGTGGGATACTGTTTGTCCGTGATTTGAACCGGGGGAACAAATTGTGGCAGGATCAGCCTGATATTATTTGTATCCCACTGTAACTTTACTGTATAAAGAGCTAACATCTCCAAAATGTCAGGAGTAGTTAGTCATTACAAGAAGTGTTTGTGAACTTAAAATCAAGAATGTAGGACACTGTTTGTCCGTGATTTGGAGAGCTCAGCGCTGCTCCCGACGCAGGGAAAACCAATTCTGCAGGGGAGACCTACCTTGGCACTTGTGCAGGTGAAGCCAAATGGAAGATATGCTTCACCATTTTTTCTAGTCTTTGGCTTGGAAGGAAGTTGGTTTGGAAACACATTTATCTCCTGCATATATTTATATTCATCTCCTGCTTTGCGTTTGTGTGGAAGCCCCGTCAAAAGTCTGTCCATTATGCTAGCA